GGCACGAGAAGTGCAAAAACGCATAATCGCACCGGCCCGCCTGGTGCGTTCCAGCCTGGGTTTTCAGATAAATTGCTAACTTGAAAACCAGGAAAGCTAGAAAGCTGAAATTTTAAAGTGATGTTTTCAGACAACCCTAGTGGCTAGTCTCATTTCTCTTAACCAGAAGTATTTGCCAGAAAAACCGGTGCAAGTAGCGACAAAAACTGCGGGAAACTATGCAAAAACATGTCATGGGAGGGAGTGGGCTGATCATAAGTGAGGTTTGTTGTCATTTACTGTTACTATTACTACTATTAAATTGTAGTAATTTTTTTTATGATTTATACTATTATTATCACTCTATCTACATTTTCTAAGAGAGAGAGGTAACAAATGGACAAAACGGATTATTGAACAGTACGCGCAGAATGCCAAAAGTGCACATGGGAGTCTGTCTACGCGGTAAATCTACTTAAGTATCTGTGTGAAATGTTCGGGATAAGAGAGGTTTAACAATAGAGTGATCAGCAAAAGAAATGTATGATGAAGCAACAGCTGATCTTTTTGTAACGCTTGAGGGTATTCCATGTTAACGTCTCTACTTTGCACCATTTCATATGGTGGAAAAATATTCAAGCCCTGGAGATCTATTTTAACTAGAAAACCTACCACAAACTATATGTCCGAAGATTTCGGTAATGTTAAGTCTTAAACATGTGTTATAAATCGATGTGAATGTAGTGCAAGCCGTTGAAACTAATTACATGTGAAGAAGCCAGTAGTGCTAATACATGTGCAAATGTGAATATAAAAAGATTGGCTGCATTTCGTTTCAAAGACGTATATATGTACATAAGCATATGTATAGGCACTAGTCAAGGAAAACAGGGGCGTGGGCCGAGAAATCGAAAAACATGCTTGCACTTCTAGTCGAAAAATTTACTTGATGGACTCGAATCATCTACCGTACGCACTATGTGTCAAAACTGATAAAGCATAGACATCTTAGTACTGAGCCCAAGTTTTTAAATTGTGCTGTTACTCTAAGAAATTACTTGCGATTTAAAAAGCAAACTACAAATGTCGCTGTAAAAATGCGGCCTAGCGCTAAAAATACATAATAGGCAAGCCCTCAAATATAAGTTATTGGGCAGTACTAACGATGAAATCGAGAAAACTCTTCGGTAATAACGCGCAGCATTGAGCGTATATTACCAATGCACTTCGGAAAGTAAGAAATCAAAATGATAAAGAAGCTTCGCGAATGGTTAAGGGAAGAATACTTTGAGGGAAAAGTGGGAAAGCAATTCTGCAGTAATCCAGTTAACCATCTCGTTGTAACATTCAACGATTCACAGATAAGAAATACAGAGTGGTACAGAATCAAGGGTTAATCGACTTCGCAAGAAATATGTGAAAACTATCGGTAATTTGCAAAACAAAACCTTGAACGGAAGCATGTTATTGCCCGCAATAACAGCGTTGACTGAAAATCTGGACAATTCGCTGGCAAGTTGAAGCACGCCAAACAAATAATCCTCAATATCGAGGCCGAAGCCAGCCGGCGGATCAGACTCGTCAACTAAAAACACATAAAGCACCTACAGAAATTAATTTGACACAGGAAACAACTGAAGCTATTCTCCGTTAAAACAGATAACTGTTGCTATCTGTACTACCAATAATCGCCATTAACAAATTATCAATGAAACGACGAATAAGAACACTGCTATAACTACCAAGCATTACTGCCTAGGACAAAAATCACTGCTATTATTGTTTCATCAAACTTACGTTTTAATACTTCAGCAACTTTCCTTCGATTCAAAAGACTGCCCTCTTTCAAAAAATGAGCAAACGTCACGATAAAACACAACTTCTGGATAACGAATCGAAAATTGTCGTGGTATCTAAAAGTAAAGATTATTGCAAAATCATGAAGAATATTTCAAAAAAATAGTGTTTTTCTGTTTCCACGTGCAAAACGACTACTGTAATTTAAAAAACAATGCAGTTTCAAATTCACTAAAGCCATCGGAAATGCCAGCAATGAGCGGTTCAGCTTCTTACGTATATAAGACTCCTTATCTAACATACCGGTAGTACGCCGAGCCAACCAAAGTCTTCAGTTTCTCCAACTGGTTTTGCAGTTCTCTGTCTAAAATATTTTTGACTTCGTCCAGCTGAGCGCCTAAAAATTGAAACTGTTGATAATGTGACGGTGAAAACAACTGTAGTTCATCAAAAGAACGTTGTTATGGCACGAAGCTATAATTTGGAATTTACAAAATGTGCTCAAAACCTTTCAAACTATTGCATACAGCTATGTTAATTTGAAATAAAAGCTGTTCGTTCTTTCCATTAGCATAAAATACAAAAGATATCCAAAAAGCAGTGAGTAGTCTTGCATAATTTTTCGACTGTTGTGCTGGAAATACAAAAGAAAAAAATTCCTACGAGTAAAAAAAGTCAAAAAAACGATGCCATTTCTGAGACAGTATGCAGCCACTTCTCAAATCCGTTCTTATCAATTCTCCCAGCTTCTCTCTTCTCTCACGACCAGCAGATTAAACTTAATTTTAAGTAGCTGTGCTGTAAATCTTCCAATATTTCTCAACAATTCTAGTACTATTTGAATCATCTAGCTTGGTTGGTTTTTATTACAATGGGGAAAAAAAAAACACATTAAGACTACCATATTCGCCTGGAACGGAGTGGGTTTTTTGCAATATCGAAATCATTTTCAGAACCCAGTACTCCAAATCATGCGCTATTCCACTGATTTCCTGAAAAAAGCCAAAAACTTATCTCACATTGTTTAATATCAAACTCAGGCTGAAACGCACCGGGCGAACCCGTGCGATCATGCGTTTTTGCACCGGACTTGAAGTACTCAGATCATTAACTGTGTGAATGGTTGTTGCTTTACATCTACCTTTTGCGGTCACTAGCACAAATCACCATAAATTTTGCATAAAATAAATGTACAGTTTCCATTTAACGGTCGTTCTTTAAATGCAACCTAGCTGTCCAGTGAGAAATTTTTCCCGTACGTAAGAAATAAGCATACCTTAGGGCTGAATTTGAAATACTTAAGTTGTACTTGGACAGGGGACATTGCCCTAAAATTTCAGCTTTCAAGCTTTTCTGGTCTCCGAGTTAGTAATTTTCCCGCAGACACTTTCATATGCCTTTACGTGAATTCCACGCGTAGCCTGGGATTGAATTTGAAACATCTGGGCAGGAAACATTCTCCCAAAATTTCAGCTTTCCAGCTTTCCTGGTTTCCGAGTTAGCAGTTTTCCCGCTACAAATTTCACACACCCTTACGTGAGTACCATGCATGCCTGGGGGCTGAATTTGAAATCTTTAGCTAGCAAACGCACAGGAAATATCCCTACAAAATTCTCAGTCCCTTACCTTGTGTGGTTCCCGAAATCGCTTCCCCGCCAAAAAATTTGCATATTTTTTTAAAGCGTCCGTACGCGGCCCCAGACGTCCGCGGGGGATGAAGTTAGAACGGGAAGACTGCGCATGGTACGGGCACATACTCCCAAAGTTTCAGCCTTCTAGCTTTTCTGGTTCTCGAGTTGAAA